GTGGTACAAAGAAGACACATTTTCAAGATGATTGGTAGTGGTACAATGGTACACAGAAAATACTTTTGCAAGGCAATTGGCACATGTGTTTGAAACTCGTGGTAATCGAATGAAAATGCTTTTTGAAAAGTTCAATGGGCATCTATCCAAATGGGCCTCTCGTAAAAATCCCTATACTGTACAAGCTTTCGTTTTCACACCATGAACTTTTGCTCACAATGAACTTCTTGTTCACAATGAACTTCTTGCCCACAAGGCTGTGTGATGTTGTCCTGTAACTCAATCTTTGAGGTCATTCTTTTAGCCTTCTTACCCCTCTGGTCAGACATATCTTTGAGGTCATTCTTTTAGCCTTCTTACCCCTCTGGTCAGACATATCTTTGAGGTCATTCTTTTAGCCTTCTTACCCCTCTGGTCAGACATATCTTTGAGGTCATTCTTTTAGCCTTCTTACCCCTCTGGTCAGACGTTTGTAAGTTGTCAACGCCCTCAATTCCACTTCGAAAAAAAAAAAGAAAAAAACTCTCCAAGACTCCCCAAAGGATATTTTTAAAATCTCAAATTCCTCTGTTCCACCAGGAGCCACCAAAAGAATATGGTGGCCTTTTTTCTCTCTCTCTTTTCTTTTGAGAGTTTGTTGTGTACCCAAACTAATAAATCAACGGCCGCAGATGCTCCAAGCGATAACAGAGCCCGGGGACGACAATGTGAGATAAACAGTGATAACCAGACTGGGAGCCGTGGCGTACCATTCCGGCACCCTCGCGATCAGCGGCGCCCCGTTAACGAGCAGACGGGGCACAATTCGCGAAATTGTCCAAACTGAAAAGGGCGGATAGGGTTACCGACTCCTTACAATCTCATTTGCATGGGGGCTGATTGTTACATAACGGGGGGTGAACATTTTTTTTTTGCGCGTTGGCGCGGCTTAATCTGTACAAGTTGGCACATAAAACACAGTTCAAATGGCTCGGGTTTCGGGTAGTGCGCACCAGACGAGCTATTCAATGGACGTGTCGTTGGCGCGCAGCGTAGATTTCCACACAGCAGAGACGCGATTAAAACTATCACTCACTTTGGTTTATGAGGAGTGGGGCAACATAAGGAGGGGCGTCTTTTTTAAAAAAGAAAACTGATAGTCATTATGGGTGGGGTGGGGGGGACACATATAATGGATACGCCCACTCGCCATGCATGGGTGGGGTGGGGGACACATATAATGGATACGCCCACTCGCCATGCATGGGGGGGGGGGGACAACCCAATCTCCAAATACATCAAAGATAAATTGAATGAAATGATAAAATAGTTTACGCTCCTGGGGGTATGGACAGCGGTGATACCGGAAAGGGGCCGGTGGGGGCCGGGAGGGGAGGGGGTAAACGCTCTCACTTGCAGTACTTTTAATGTTACCGGTAACTTGCGGGGGGGGGGGTATTTGGCTTAAATAGTAACGGTATGTTTATATTTTTTAAGCTACCTGGTACGTACATCGGCACTGACGCCTTGACATACCTGTAATACGTTGCATTATCACCCCCCCCCCCACACACACACACACACCAGGGATTTGTGGTTAGGTGCCGGTTGTGCCTTTGGTTGCAGGGATGTGATCATTTTGATTGGCCACATGTTCATATTGATAGACTCGATGGTAGACTGCATGATAGACTACTTTGATATATTCGATGGTAGACGATGATAGATCCGATGATAGACTCGATGATAGACTATGATAGAATCGATGATAGATTCCATGATAGGCTCCATGGTAGATTCGAAGATAGAATCGATGATAAATTTAATGATAGACCCTATGATAGATTCGATGATGGATTTTATGATAGGCTCGATTTTTACAGAGGTTGGTAAAAGAAGAAGAAAAGCGAAGAGATCAGTTTGGAATATTGAAACCCTATTACCCATAAGCATTTATAAAATCAATTAAAACTATATGAACAACAGGTGGTTCTTAAAGGTGTAGAGTAAAAACTGCGCACACATCAACCTGGTATTGTCGAGCAAGAAGCCGTTATCGGCATATCCCCAGGTGTGAATGGGGAACACGGGAGAGAGATCGCAGCTGTCAATATACGGGTATACCACAAGACTTTTTGGGACCACATCAATCATTATGTCATTTTATTTCATACCATTGGTCTTTTCGATTATGATCCGAGCATTTGAATGATCCAGGAAGTTGGGGGGGGGAAAAAAAAGGGGGGGGGGCTAAAGAGGGGGAAGCTAAAGAGGGATACGCTTTTAAATATGACATACTCGCACCAATGGGTAATGGAAGGTCATATTTGATCGTCATTCCACTCTTTTCAACACAAGACAATTTGATATATGTAAAAAAGGGGGGGGGGGCTAAAGAGGGGGAAGCTAAAGAGGGCTACGCTTATAAATATGACATACTCTCACCAATGTGTCATGTAAGGTCATAGTTGATCGTCATTCCACTCTTTTCAAAACAAGACAATTTGATATATGTTAAGACATTCGGTAGCCTTCAGCTATTCGGTAGCCTTCAGCCATTCGATAACCTTCAGCTATTCGGTAACCTTCAGCTATTCGATAACCTTCAGCTATTCGATAACCTTCAGCTATTCGGTAGCCTTCAGCCATTCGATAACCTTCAGCCATTCGATAACCTTCAGCTATTCGGTAACCTTCAGCTATTCTGTAACCTTCAGCTATTCGGTAGCCTTCAGCTATTCGGTAACCTTCAGCCATTCGATAACCTTCAGCTATTCGGTAGCCTTCAGCTATTCGGTAACCTTCAGCCATTCGATAACCTTCAGCTATTCGGTAGCCTTCAGCTATTCGGTAACCTTCAGCCATTCGATAACCTTCAGCTATTCGATAACCTTCAGCTATTCGGTAACCTTCAGCTATTCGGTAACCTTCAGCTATTCGGTAACCTTCAGCCATTCGATAACCTTCAGCCATTCGATAACCTTCAGCTATTCGGTAACCTTCAGCTATTCGGTAACCTTCAGCTATTCGGTAACCTTCAGCTATTCGGTAACCTTCAGCCATTCGATAACCTTCAGCTATTCGGTAACCTTCAGCCATTCGATAACCTTCAGCCATTCGATAACCTTCAGCTATTCGGTAACCTTCAGCTATTCGGTAACCTTCAGCTATTCGGTAACCTTCAGCTATTCGGTAACCTTCAGCCATTCGATAACCTTCAGCTATTCGGTAACCTTCAGCTATTCGGTAACCTTCAGCCATTCGATAACCTTCAGCTATTCGGTAACCTTCAGCCATTCGTTAACCTTCAGCTATTCGATAACCTTCAGCCATTCGATAACCTTCAGCTATTCGGTAACCTTCAGCCATTCGATAACCTTCAGCCATTCGATAACCTTCAGCTATTCGGTAACCTTCAGCCATTCGATAACCTTCAGCCATTCGATAACCTTCAGATATTCGATAACCTTCAGCCATTCGATAACCTTCAGCCATTCGATAACCTTTAGCTATTCGGTAACCTTCAGCCATTCGATAACCTTCAGCCATTCGATAACCTTCAGATATTCGGTAACCATCAGCTATTCGGTAACCTTCAGCTATTCGGTAACCTTCAGCTATTCGGTAACCTTCAGCTATTCGGTAGCCTTCAGCCATTCGATAACCTTCAGCCATTCGATAACCTTCAGCTATTCGGTAACCTTCAGCTATTCGGTAACCTTCAGCTATTCGGTAGCCTTCAGCCATTCAGTAACCTTCAGCTATTCGGTAACCTTCGGCCATTCGATAACCTTCAGCCATTCGATAACCTTCAGCTATTCGGTAACCTTCAGCCATTCGATAACCTTCAGCTATTCGATAACCTTCAGCTATTCGGTAACCTTCAGCCATTCGATAACCTTCAGCTATTCGGTAACCTTCAGCCATTCGATAACCTTCAGCCATTCGATAACCTTCAGCTATTCGGTAACCTTCAGCCATTCGATAACCTTCAGCTATTCGGTAACCTTCAGCTATTCGGTAACCTTCAGCTATTCGATAACCTTCAGCTATTCGGTAGCCTTCAGCTATTCGGTAACCTTCAGCCATTCGATAACCTTCAGCTATTCGGTAACCTCCAGCCATTCGATAACCTTCAGCCATTCGATAACCTTCAGCCATTCGATAACCTTCAGCTATTCGGTAACCTTCAGCCATTCGGTAACCTTCAGCTATTCGGTAACCTTCAGCTATTCGGTAACCTTCAGATATTCGGTAACCTTCAGCCATTCGGTAACCTTCAGCCATTCGATAACCTTCAGCCATTCGATAACCTTCAGATATTGGGTAACCTTCAGTTATTCAGTAACCTTCAGCTATTGGGTAACCTTCGGTTATTCAGTAACCTTAAGCTATTTAGTAACATTCAACTATTCGGAAACCTTTGGCTATTCGGTAACATTCAGCTATTTGGTGTTAATAATGGAGCTAGTAAACTACAGCGAGTCCTTATGAGATCAGTTTAGATCTCAGCTCAGAAAATCACCAGCTTACCTAACTTCATGTTTCCATTTTTTAAAATCTGTTCCAGGTCACTCCACGTCTTCGACCGGCCCAACTCTCGTCTGATGACAGATACTGACCGACCGCTGACCCACCCAGCGCTCAGACCCAACTTTGGCGCCGCCGAGCAAAGCCGGCGATACCGCCCTGAAAGCGGAGCCGTCCGCCCTCAGCTGGATCAGGCCGGACCGGCAAATCAACCGGCCAGGCCCATCTTCCAAGGCCTGCCCTTGTCAACGGTCACCCCGGGTTTAAATATAAACATGTTCACAGCTGCAAGCAGTCTGGCCATATCGGCGTCGAGCGCAGCTGGAGGGCTCATCCCGCCGTTACTTCAGTACCCGGGTCTTCTCCCGACATCGGAAGAGCTCAAGTTTCTCAGCATGGCGCAGTTCCAAGCGGCTAATCAGGCCCACATCGTCGGGGAGGTGGCCAAGCTAAAGCCGCCAATCCTCACGAGGAACTACCTGGAGCTGGCCATGCTGGTGTGCAACACGTTCCGGGGCAAGCTCTTCCCGTGCCCGCACTGCCGCTACGTCACCGACAGACGCAACAACCTGAAGCGGCACGTCGCCACCATGCACCAGGCGTGCGACAAGCAGCTGGAGTGCTGCGGCGTCAGCTTCGCCACCAAAGCCTCGCTCCGGGAGCACATCACCATCTTCCACCACAACGGCTACTCCTGCCCGTTCTGCGGTCGCCGGTTCTGCCGCAAGGCGCTGCTGAAGCGGCACCTGTCCGTGCACAGCGGGCAGAAGGACTACACGTGCCCCCATTGCGACTACGCCACCAGCCACAAAAGCAATCTGGAGCGTCACAAACGGATCCACGCCCGCATCCAGATTATGGGTGACCATGGGATGGAAGACGCCCACCAAGACGCGGGTATGATTTTCGAGGAAAAAGATACCGGGGATTTCCCTCTTCATGAAATGGGAATTTCCTCTCGCACGCTCAAGAGCTGCATCAATCCAACAAATGGTGAGGTCTGGTCCGAAAGTCGAAATCTCGACCGCGGGCCAAGTTCGCCGACTCACTCGGAAGACACCGAGGACTGTGAGATTGACATAGACGACGACAGCGACGATGACGATGTTGGTGACGTCATCGTGGATGCGGATAACTCAGCCAGCAGTGGGGGCGAAACCGCCCCACAGCAGCACCGTGGGGCGCTGGCCGGCGACGCCATGCACCGCCCGATGAATCTGGTGACGGAGAGCAACTCCAGGGCCACGGCGGCGGCCAAGATCGCAGCGAGGCTGACCCACGGGTTTGCCGCCCCTGAACTGAAAATGGCGCCCTGGTCCACGGCGAGCGGCTGCTCTAAAAACTCAATGATTAAATGACACTGCGCTGGACACGTTGAATAAACATTTATTGTAACATTCATCGTGTATACAGCATACAGAAATGGGGGTCTTCACATTTTGTTTACTTCCAATGGATCCCTTTTTTTCCATTCAGATGAAGCGCCATGATCTTCATCTTGGAATAAAGCTCTTAAAGGCTTTAATAACTTTAGAGTTGCATCCCATGGCTCCCCTGACAATTAATTCATGGACCCCCAAGGATTCCGTGGTTCTCAGATGAAGACATCCCCCCCCCCCACTGATGAGGAGACTGGAATGTATCAGAATAGCAATCGCCACTTTCGAATCACAAAGAATGGATGGACAATCTGTAATCATTAAATCATCAGCGGCTAATCATAAAATCTATGCTCACAACATTTTTTCAAAAATTTTTAAAAACATTTTTTTTTAAAACTATGAACATATGTAGCCACACCATATAAAACTGATTACGTCAAAGACTGTTCTCCAGGTGTCCTTTAACGGCCAAACAGCTATAAATAGACATCTGTTTAAGTTCGATCAGTGCAACGCATTTAAATAAACAGCTACATTTCTTGAAGTAGTGGAAATTCAGACAATGGAAAGGAAAAGCATCAGTTAGGTCTGAGTGGAAGGAAGTGGTGAGGCAGGCCAAAGCCCTACACGGGCTGTAGTGCCTGAGGGATATATGGAAGTCAGACATCGAATGAATACATTAATATATTTAAATGGAGCATTCAGGCATTGAATGCAGACATTGAATGCACACATTGACTTAATTCAGACATTGCATGCAGACATTGAATGTAGAAATTGAATGCAGGCATTTGTATTAAGTAGCTTGAATTCTGGAGATTTTAAACATATAATAATGTTTTATCAAAAGTACTAACACACAGTTGGGGTTGGGAGTCCACTGTGGGGATACACTGTGGGGGTTCACAGTGGAAGGTCCACTGTGGGGGTCCACTGTGTGAGGAACTGTGTCCATTGTAAAAGGGGGGGGGGAGGTGAAGGTTTACTAGTGTATGTCATTTCGTTGGTGTGACCAAAGGTGCTTTTTAAGAATAGACAAGTCTTAGTGTAATTCGAACTCTATCCTAAACTGTTGATAAAAAAAAACTCACCTAATTTAAAGTCGATCCTTTGCTCTAAATAACGCAGCATCATCACACATGACTGCGTTGTTGATCTATTACTATTTATCATTAAAAGGCGATGTGAAAATTGCGTTTTACAATTATACTGTTTAATATGTTTCATTCTTAATATTATATTAGACTGATAAGAACTTCTTATAATCTTTTTTTTTTCTCTCCGTAAAAATGAATATTAAATAACAGTTATTTACTGTAACATCTTAAAGACGGCGAAAACTCAAAATTAAATCTTGATATTTTATATTTAAAAAAAAAAAGAAAGAAATACAAAATAAAAACATCTTCTCTTCTTTCCTTCAAAACTTTTAAATATATGATTGCCTAAATCTGATATGTCCGTTTGTCGAAAATCCTTCTTTGAACCCGTTGTTCAAACTCATTTTTTTAAAAACGAGGCAGCCATATGTTTGTATAAATTTAAAAAAAAAACAAACTATGAGCAAATTGAAAGTGTAGATTCTACCTTCATTCAAATATATATACATACATACATACATACATATATATATATATATATATATATATGTGTGTGTGTGTGAAAAATGTAATCCTCCCCAGCAGAGTCCTCCCTCCGGATTACACACCAATTCAAAACCTGAAACTGATTTTTCTTCTTTTTTTTTTTTTTTTTTTTTTTTTTTTTTTTTTTTTTTATTATTTTTTTTATTATCGCAACAAAAATGAATTGTTTACAAAACTTACCTAGTGCATTCCTAAAAGCTCAACTAATTATTTACACCATTAAAATTAAAACCAGTACCTAATCAATAAACCATAAAAAAACCTATCAGATATTGCATTCTGTGCTTTTCGAGAGTATCTACTTTTGATGTTCATCATGCAGCCATTCTCATCTGCCAGGATTTTATAAAACAGCAGTTTTTTTTTAAATTTATTATTTTGTTAAATTTGGAATTTAAAAACAAAAAACTCTAAATCGCCTATTTAAATGTTTAGTCTATTTATATAATCTATTTGTATTTAAAAACAAAAATTGTATTCTTAGAATCTTCATCAAGTATACGTATTTATTTTGTATATTTCAAATAACGGTGAATGTAAAAATCTATTTTTAGTGCCTCTACTGTGGTATTAATTTTTCCGACTAGTTATAGCCCGCCAAAAAAAATTTGTCGGCCGTAAAACGTGAAATTCCCATCTGCTAAAGGTACTGAAAACATGAATTCGTTTAACGCACTATATAAGATTCCCAATTAGTGCTATCCCCCCCCCCCAAACTCCACCCGCGACTGAACTATATGATATTCTAATGACCTCAACCAACTTTAACACCTAATATTTACAGCACCATAGTATATAAATTGAGACTATTTCCATTTAAACAATAAAGATAATAACTAAAAAATATTACGCACCAAACGCGCTTGCGGTAGCCTCTCTTTAAGAATATGTTTTCGGGAATGTTATTTTGCGACATTAGTTGATTGTGGTGATAAAAATAGAAGGTTGCGACTATTCGCACCCGGGTACCAGAAGTGAGAGGTTGGGATTAAAAAAACTATTTAAAATATTATTGTGGGGTTTATAAGACAAAATGAGGTATCAAATGAAAGGTAATTGAATGGGCTTTATGTTTGTCAACTTACCTCTTCAGTTTAACTAAAATAAACGACCACAAATGACATTCGAATAGCTTTGGTCTAATGGGACCCGGGTGCGAATGGCGGCGCTGCGTGTCCGGGGCCAGTTTCTCTACCTGTGGGCGGTCCAGTTTTAGAATACAATTTATTTCTAATTAACATTTTAGACCCAACCAGCCGTGAGTAAGTTTGTATTAAGGTAACAACTGTTTTTAAATACTTGTAAGTAAGTCTTAGTAGTTATATATATATATTTATATATATATATATATATACACACAAATATTATACTCGTTAAATAGAATCTCGCGTGTGGAAACGTGTAATATTTGATACAAGAATTAATGGGAAATATTATTTCGTTTCTATCTTTAATTATTTTTTTTTAAATTTCCAACAACAAATATGTTTACCTGACGAGTCTCAGGATTCCACATCGCCATTAACTTTTAACAGATTTGTGTTGTTTTGTTTTTTTTCAATTTATGATTACTGGTGTTAAGATTTCCTTTATAAGTGTGTACAATTTGAAAGACTCCAGATAAATTGTGTGTGCTGGTAGATGATATCTAGCGCGGCTTGGTTAAAAACTACTCAAATAGTTATACTTAACAAATATATATATATACTTAATGTTGTTGTTGTTTTTTTTTAATAATGGTTTGTGATTTTTTGTGTAGATTAATTTGTAGAAAATGTCAACTGCAGTTATATAAATAATAATTACGATTTTTTTCTCTTTTACAATCAGGGTGGTTACTTCAGTTTTTGTTTTTTAAATTGTTGTTTTTTGCTTATCAATGAAATAAGTGTACAAATGTGTGTACATAATTACGAAATTACAATAAATTAAGCTAATGAATCGTTTTGTTCTTCTTATTTCTTTATGAAAGTTTATTTAATATTTTTTTTATTATTTAATATTATTTCTGAATTAAGTATTTATTATTACGTCATGTTTGTTTAAGAAGTTGATCGATAAATTTAACTGTAACACAAATTTAGAATACTCTATCATAAAAATAAACTGTTATATTTTATACGTTTCATTGATCACTTTGCACTATTGTTACTATTGTTACTATTGTTAGAGTATTATTAAAAAGTGCGATCAATTATAAAACAAAATTAATGTTTCGTGTTTGAGAATAGATGTGACAAAGGTATTGTCACAATATCTTTTCTTCTTTACCCACGGTCGGTCAGCTCAGGTCTTCTTCTATAATCGTGGTCAGTCAGCTCTGGTTGTCTGCTATTCCCGTGGTCGGTCAGCTCAGGTCTTCTTCTATAATCGTGGTGAGTCAGCTGTGGTTGTCTGCTATTCCCGTGGTCGGTCAGTTCTGTTTTTCTTTCTATACCCGTGGTCGGTCAGCTCTTGTGTTCTGGCCAGGTGCTAGCTAATGGCCACCTCGTTATGTATAGCCCACAAACCTTAGCTCACCCCCCTCCCCAGGCAGTAGATATGTTTGTTTTTATTTATTTTAAGTGGACAATTAATAAACATCTTTAGATAGTTTAGGAAGAATGAAATTATTGCTATTATAGCTCAGCCGACCAAAGATCACTTTGATATTTTTTGTTTTTTAAATCTCTAATTCCAATTAGTTTACACTTTGAAATGAACAGGCAGAACGAAAAAAAGAAGTGAGGCCCGTGGGGGGGGGGGGGGGGGAGAATAAACCAATTAAGCTTAGTTCAACTTTAAAATTAAAAAAAAATATATACTTTAGGAAAT